TTAGGTAGGCGAGGAAGAAATTATTTTCAAATCATTGGACTCTGTGTGTCACGACAAAACCCACAATTTTGCCAAGAATCGCGGCTAATCTCCAGTACTACTGGTAGGAAAAGAAAAAAAAGCTGAAAACCCTTTCCCTTTACTAAAATTCAGACACCAAAAGCTAAGCTGGACCGCCCACTTGATGTTTTCGTATTCGCGTCAAACCGGCTTTGGATCCTGACTGGATTTTCGTTCTAGACAGAGTTGATCTTGTCACCTTTCGACAGCTCACAATATTTTACAGCTTTTCTGCACCAGCGAACACCTCACGACTCACTAAGAAGATCTATAATGTCTCACGAGAAATCTCTCTACAGCGTTTGATAACTTATTTCAGCATCTGCGGTCATTTTTTAATCTAACTTTCCTGTCATTGGTTTTCAAACCATTAAAGTCAAATATTTGATTATATAAAAATTTAATACAACTGATTATTAAATGCGATACTGAATCGTATGAATAGTTTTTTATACATTGAATAGGTCTTCTTACGTCTTACTTATTTTTATTCTTATAGAATGTCATAAACCGTAAAATCCTCAACCGGATTCGCTAAACCGGAAATCGGACCAGTTTTACAGAAATTCCATTCGTTCCTAGCTGGTTCAAAACTTGTTAGAACGTATTTTGGGTACGGTCGTGTATTACTAGGGGCGCGAGTCTTTTGGGCAGAACTAAGTTCCTAACGCGTGATGACATGCCTGCTTACGCCAGCAAGGTCGGTGCTTTATGCTCGGGGCTGCCGCAATGCTGCTAGTCGAGAATTTGATTAGGTCAATTATGCGGGCCTGATCGGATCTTCACGTGAAATTAGATTGGCCACGTTGGTTATGACAAACCAAACAACGTTTCTATCTTCTTAGTTAGCACGCTTCTTTACACCTCGAAATTGTATTACTACACTGACTCCCTTGATATAAAAATTGCGCAATATTAAAAAAAATGTACGGAGAATGACGTCTCTTTTTATAAAAATCAAACGAATAAACAAACTATTCATACAAATATAAGTTACGTTATATCAATTTAAAAAATTCCAAAAAATACTCTAATCCCAAAATATCATTCAAAAGATATATAAATTTCATAATACACCATTTTTTTTAAATGTCTTCCCAAAAAAGTCCACTCCAATGTATCGAAACTAATAAAAATATATTAAACCATTTTTGTTAGATGGTTCATGTATACAAGGTTGGTACTCAACAAGTGAATTGTCTGTATTAGAATTTATATTAGATTACATTAGCCTACTGTCCAAGCTAAGTATCAAATCAGAATCAGTGTGACGTGTTTGCTATCTACTTGATAATTATAATCAGTAGGTATGATCCGTGATAGTTGGTCCCGGCTGCCGGCGTACAATCAGATTTTAACGGACATTTAGCCGAGAGTGGCGGGGAATGGAAAAAGGGGATCCGTGATGCACGTTAGACACTTTGTAACCAGGGTTGTGATGAATGAACGAAGTGCAGTTCGGTTCTCTAGGTTTGCCAAGAGGGGGGCAAACTGGGAATAGCAATGGCGGCCATTGTGGCAGCTGGCTCCGCGAATTTGTCGCGCATCACGCCGCGTTTGTGGATCTTTGCAAAGCGATACGCGTTCATGGGGCTTCGCCCTATCCAGAACCCCATAGACCCGGTGTTCTAGTGTTCTGGTGTCCCGGTATATTCCCGTAGACACTGTTACACACCCCAGTTGTGGGGTTGAGAAGAGTGAAATACGACGGATACACGGAAGTGAATTTTCAACGTGGATAAAGATTTTTCATTATTTACAAAAAAGCGTGTTCAATTTTGAAAAATTAATTTGGACTATATACATCTTTTTTTTAAACAAATTTAATAATTTTGTATAGTCGAGGAACAGCTTCTTAAATACGAATGAGAGGTTGCTTAAAATTTTTAATAATCGAGTTCTTGCGACTATCCTGGGTATTTTGAATTTTAGATTTTTGGGCAGTATAATTTTCTAGGGCTGGTCGGTAGGTATCTGGATGTGTATATAGGGATTCTAATGAGTGAAAATCCGGCTGCCAGAAAAGCTTTGATAGATCATCTCAGAGTCATCGTGATTCAGATCGGTCGTTAAATTGGAAACACCCCATCGTGGGGTGTTTCATTGCTTTTCCCATAGATTCTCTAGTTCGGGTCCGAAAGGCAGCAGTGCGCACGGTCGTAGGATTTGCACGGTTTTCATTGGCTCGGTTAGGTTTGATTAATCTATTTCACTGGTATATTGTTCCCTTGTTCTGAGCATTCTTATTGGCTGTGCAACCCGTCCCTAAACCTAAGGGGAACTTTTCACTATTAGATCCTACCATGACGGTACGTGAACTGGTTTTGTGTGTTTACTGCTCGGGCCATTTTGTTCCGAATATTTACACCCTATGATTTGTACCCTACCATTATCCCAGTGAAATCTCACTGTTGTTATTATAAAAAAATATTCAAAAAACACAATTTTTTCAAACAAATTTTTTTTCAAAAATAACCTTTCTGGACATACGCTGCAGTGTATAAGGTTGGCATTTTATTTTATAAATTTTTGAAATCCACACATTTTCAAAAAATACACTAATCGCATAATCAATCATTATCTATAAAAATTTGAAACATTCTATGGGTATCCTTTCTCTTGACATTCACCTATTCCTTTCCTAGTATACGGGTAGCAATCTGAAATACTTTATGAACGCGGGAATTTTGTATAAACAGCATCTACTAGCTGCTTGTGTAAGCGTGCTGCTTTACCAGGGGGTTGGTTGCAACATCCGCCCCTAAAAAATACCCCATGGGGGTGCGGCTTGATCCTGGGAGGCCGTCACGCCTATCAACCCTGCCTATGCTGGTACATCTGTTCGAGTCTCTAAACGATGAGAAAAAGCTCGAAAAAAAAGTAACCTGGTACTCGAGTATATACCGTGCTTTCTGAAATGAATGATCCAAATCATTTATTAATACATGACACCTTAAAGATACAGAAGCATCCTTAAAAAAATACTTACTGAATAAATCTAATACAGTATCACTATCTATATTCAAATCTTGTAATGCCCATGAAATCGATATTCCTTTTGACTTTGCAGTCTAATTATCGATCTCCTTAATTAGTAAATTAGGTAATGCGAATGTTATTCCTCGTACGGTCACTAATAACTATCCTAATTAATATACTGATATCTTAATTAATATACTTCATCATTACGTCCTATCGTGAACCAATAGAAATATTATTTCTTTATTAATCATATTCAACATGCATTTAGCCTCATATATGTTAAGTCTATTTTACTGTTATATATCTATATATAGTCCAGATATTTCAATCAAATTCTATAAAATTTTATATTATTTTAATTCATTTTATTGATCCACAGGAACGTGCTTCGAAGCTCAAGCACGATCATTGCTCATGAGATAATTAAATTTTATCTGCAACGTCACAGTGCATTTAAATGAATCTTATGTTACACATCTTCCTAATATCAATTTCAAATGTAACTACAGTACAATTCTACAATCTGAATCCTCCTAAGGACGACACAAGGAGCGTTGAACAAATTTATGGGTGAAATAATTTCAAGCAAAAATTACAGCGAACCCCATTAAATACTACAGCTGTATATACACGGAGTTCGCGGAGTCTTAATATTCTGCCTTGACTAATTGCGAAAAAGGTGGAAGGAGTGATGGGCCTCGCGGATCACGCGAATCGAATCGTAGCGATATCGCTAATTACATTTCTAGTCGAGTAAACAGGTGAGACGGTTTAACGCTCTCGTATCTCATCTGGTCTCCATAGAAACGACCCGAATCTCGATGCTCGTTCATGGAAAGTTACAGGACTATACAAAATATATAATAAATGTATAGTAATTAATACTACCCTCCTATACTTATATGAATAAAAATATCTGTCACACAGCTAAAACTTAATCCAGCGATTTTCACCATAATATTTTATGGGGTAAGGTCAGACCGCACGTATCGCCTCTACTTCTATCCCATGATTCGTCATTGAACAATCCTCCGCCCATTTTCCATCCCCTTCGGCTTTTTCAAGCTCTTCTCAAGCGGCACCCTTTGTAGATGTTATACTCGAGGGTTCGTGCCAATACGAAACGACCACCAATGTGCTGGAGTTCTGGTATTCGCTACCCTTCAAACGAGAGTGTGGTAGGTCAAGATTGTGTTCACAAGGATTTTACGATATGCGACGTTATGACTGATCGTGTGAATCAAGGTGAAAATTTTGAATGAAAGTCAAAAAGAATCTATAGACTACACTTTATAGATATGACAGAGACGCGGAACGAAAGAATATGATATAACATTAAATGGGAAATTACTTTTGTTGTAATTACAATTTTTTCGGAGATTTTCACGGAAAACAATTTTTTTCGGTGTTCAAAGGAATTTACAGGATCGGAGTATTTTTGGAATTACCGTGAACTCCTAGTGCATACTTTTTGAACTTTTCGGTCACGATGTAAAGACAAACGCGAGTTACGACTTGGGATACTAGAAAGGGCCGACCACCTACTCTGTTCGCACAATGGGCACAAATGCGTGGCGACAGGACCCGTAGATATACGGCGGTCTGATTGCTCGTTGTCGCTGTGTCCGATCGTCGCTGAGTGTGGATGCCGCTTGAGGGTAGTCTACCTTATATTGTGTCCGAGCGTGCGGAGGCGTTTTAAAACCAAAAGAACTGCAGGAAAGGAAGATCTTTTTTGTGCGTACTAGATATTAGAAAAGCCACACCTTTCAACGATTAACAATTTTTTTGTTTGAAAATTTCTATATCAAAGATAAATGTAAAAGGCAGGATTTTGAGATCAGGATGAAAGAGACGCTTTTGCGATAAATTTGAGTGATAAAAATTTTTAGGAAAATTCTTTTATTTTATAACGTCCAATCGTACAGATCATTGTATAAAATTAATAGATGTGCAGCAGTGTGAACAGAGCTTTATTTACAACTGGCCAATTAAATAATCAGATTATTATCAAACATCACATTCATGTAATTAACGATTAATTCGAAAATTCTCACATTCTGTATATCTCGCGATACTTAACTTTAACGATCTAAAATCTACCGATACATATGTACAGGTCTTAATATAAATTCAGTTTGCATTAACAGTAGTAAAATGGTACATAAGACATATGTGTAACGAGATACGTGTTAGAAATGAGGCAAACTTCAAGGCACTGTAAGTACAGATTGCTTATTAAGGCATGTTAAAGGCAAGGTTTCCTTTTTCCTCTGAAGGAAAAAAAAAGAGAATTTACCCAGAAGCACCAGGTATAGTCGAAGATAAATATTTCACCAAGTCACTGGGTATGCATCGAATACTTATTCACTGGTAAATAAACGCGCTCCCTGTTTCTCCACGAGCATTTTGGATACTCGAGAAAGGGAGAAAAAAATATTTACAAAAACAAATAACGTCACGGTAAAAATTTTCTCTTTAAAAATTTCTTAGTATTTAAACGCCAAAGGCATAATTCCTAGTTGACAAGCTGACGCAACCCGTCCAGTCCAGTGAAAATAAACAGTCAATATACAAGAAAAAAAAAACACAGCGAACTCAAAATTGCAACAACAATAACTCAAATTGTCATATTTGTCAAATTTAAATTTCTCAGTGAACTCTGCCGCACACCTGAGAGTCTATAGCCCCGAGATAAGGGTAGCCACTTTTAGCCTCGCTTGGACTATGAGGGGTCACGTGGTGACCCATTCCAGAGGTTGGCACTCCTGTAGAAGAGCTTTGAACCATACAAGCACTCATATTGGACGCCGTGGGACTGACACCACCAGCCAGACTTCCGAGGTTGAGGTTCGGCGAGGTCAAATTACTGCTCCCATAATGAGAAGCATTAAAGATGCTGAAACAGAAAGAGAGAAAAAGTCCCTAGATTAAACCAAAGAAAACAAAGAACAATTCCTATAGCAAGATCAATGATATATTGAAAGGATATGCTTGGGCTACTAAAAGGAGTACTAATAAAGAAATTAAGTAGTGATTACTTATTTTACATTTTTTTTTATAAACATTACTACTCTAAGTTCTATATATTCTATGGTATCCTAACGTTGGCAATTATTACCCCCCGTGCTACGCTCGACTTTTAGCTTAAGTTCCAGGTACAGAATGTAAAATGCTGGCAATAATCGCGGAGAGGTCTAAGTACTGTTTATAAAAAGAACACGGTGGTCTCACAAAGCAGCCGCCGCCCATTCGGCAGGGACATTTCGGTCATTTTGCTTGCAATCAAAGCGCAGTGTTCGCTCTGCAAGCCGATACCCAATACTGCACAGTTCTACGGGAATCGGTTAGGGCGTGTCGGACAGCCCCTACTCAGCGAGAGCGGTCCTTTGAACGTGCTAGTAGCTACGGCAGTTTAAGAGACTAAATTGTCATGTACCTATACAGAGGTATTGGACACCTAGAAAAATCATTTAGTCTAAAAGTTAAAGGATTTCCAAAAAAAAAAAAAAAAATGACAATGACTACCGATAACGTTCAGTATATCATTGTAACGATTAAATTTTTCAAAATTTTCAAAACTAACCTCCGAACTCAATTTTTCATGGATATCAGTAAAAAGTAAATTTTTATTGCATAAGATAATTCTATGAAAAATGAGTCATGCGCTAAAATGCTCTCTAAACGCAGTAATTGGATATCCTAATGGTAAATCATTTCAGATTAGATATCGTCTAATCAGAGAATTTTGAAAATATCCTAATTATAGGTAGCGCAGCACGAAGTACGGAGCACTTAAAGAATTTTCAGTACATGCGGACACGTCGTAATACATCAGTGGCTAAACGTGACAGGTCATTGGTATATAGCCAAAGTGCGTTACCAGTCTTACGAAGATACGTGTATACGCATTTCCATGGTAGGAGCCAAGGCAGGTAACCCAACGAAGTCAAAAGAGCGAGACTGGAGCAGATTATTAGCCGGTAGCGTTTCATTACGGGCCCAGCAACATAATTGCGGACCACACCGGAGTGCTCCGATCAGACTGTACAAGGCTCGACTTGGAATCGCTCAGGATGCCGCACTGTAGCAACCGGCCCCGTACCAACCTGTTATTACTCCACAATGGCTGAATTAATTGTTCGAAACACCCAGGCTTATGCGGGAGCGAGTTTGCCGTTTTAAACGCCAGGATAATATAACCTTCTAGCTCCTATCCGAAGTAGTGGCGTTCGCTTTGAGAATAGCGGTGGGTCTGAGTTTTTGAGAAAAAATTTATCTTTTTATATCTAGTTTATTGTTTTTGAATTTTTCAAATTCCTATTGCACTTATGTATCATTGCAAGTGCGATAGTTGATTGCGCAGGTGGGTATGGAAAATTCCAAAAAGTTTATTAGAATTGAAAAATTTTTTTATTATCAAAAAAATTTATTTACTCACCCATAGTTCTCGGGGGTAGCTCTTGGCCATTGCTGCTGTGCGTAATAATTCTCGCTGTAGTTGTAGTGCTGGGGATACGCTGCGGTGGTCGCTGCAGCTGCAGCTGCCGATGCTTGCCCGTAAGACTGATAACTTTCTGCGCCACTGCCGTAGTGTTGGCTTTGAAAAGACTGTAGACTCATGGTATTAAAGGCGTTCAATTGTTGGCTGTTCAGTTGTTTACGTAGTCTTGCGCGTCTGTTGCTGAACCAGACCTGAACACGTGCCTCGGTCAGTTTCGTTCTGAAAAATAAAAAATGACAAGAATATTAACCAACCGTAAAATATGAAATTACCAAAGGCAGTAAATGTCTAATTTTTTCCCAAAAATTGCATCGGCGTATAAGTCGTTTACTTTGATTTTACGTTACAAAAAAAATGCAATAAAACCATACTTTTGGGCCAGTTCCTCTCTGGTATAAACATCTGGGTACTGAGTTCTGTGAAAAGCAGCCTCAAGCTGTTCCAACTGTTCGCCAGTGAAGGTCGTTCTGCTTCTGCGTTGTTTTCTCTTAAGGGCAATACCAGGTTCGCTCTCGGTATCGGAGTCGTCACCACTGCTGCCACCTAGAAGAATTAAAAAAATTAAATAAAAATTGCGAACAACACGCTAATTCTATTTGGCAATAATTGATAATAATTTTGTGTCAACAGTCAACCGTATAAACCTTTTTTAATCGATAGATTTAAAAAAATGCAAATCTAAAAAATTTGACATTTTCTCAAAATTATCCCAAACGATTGAATCCTTAACTGTTACGTTAATTTTCTCAACACCACCTAGAGGACTGTACGAGTCCAGCACGTGCTAGACGTCAGAGACCAAAGATAGGAAGCGAGTCGTGCCCGCCCACAGTTCACACGCTGGACTCAGCAACCCACCATTAAATCCAGCTGATTACAGCCATGCCAACCTAACCCATACTAAACTAAAACACCGAAGAAATTAGGGTTCGGTCATAGAAATTAAGACCCTTCACAGTCCGGATTTGCGATCCAGCAAGATCATCCGCAATGATTCTATTGACACGAATAGATTTTAGTTCAACAAAACCACAAAGAAAATGGCACTGATAAAAAATTCCAAGACCGCTTTGACGTCGCAAAAACATAAACCACACGTCTTATATCTCAACGTATAATAAATTTAAAAAAATGACTTTTGAATAACATTTTGTAGATGAATTTTGAATTTAAGATAAATGGATTTTCGTGCATCTACGTGAACTTACTACCTAAGGTTATGTCTCAATCGAGGAAAACCACAAGAAACCGTAGGAACCGAACGTCTAAATCAATGACGGTTGTTTCACCGAATGAATCGTTCAAGTAGGTCGGCGGTTCGCGAGATTAGAGGCAGCTGGACCACACGCGGTGCCAGCGAGAAGAGTGGCTGCTACCCTTTATACCTTTTGCGTTGTATCTTTCAATGCTCTATCTCATACCTCTTCTATCTTCTACCAAACTAACTTGCTGGCTTTATTCTTACTGTACTTTTGCCTTCTATCCTTCTCACCTTCTTCCATCGGCCTCCTATACCTGGCAGAGTAGAAGCCGCGGGCAGAGAAGAAACTGCACTGTGGTTAAGTTGGGACATGAGCATAACCACGACCTGGTACCACCATCCAGGATCGTAACCACGAGGTATGCTCAGGTCGCCAGATCGCAGGACTCTACTTGCTAATCCTTCCTGCTCGAGTCGACAACTGTCATCATCTCAGATTAGAAAATACTATGCGCTACGGTTTTGCGTATTGTGGTTACGCCATGACGTGTACGAGATACATACTTTGCAATACCGTTAGAGACACGGGACATTGGATATACGAATATCATAAAATAAACAAAAATTATTAATTATACATACCAAAAAAAAAAATATCAATTAAATTTTGGATTTTTTCGAAAATCATTAAATTTTTTTACCATGTACATAGTTCATCATCAATTCGAGAAACAGAGTGACGCGTCCGTGGATGCTCGACGTGAACTTCGCCTCGGATTATAATACAGAGCGAACGTCTAATCAAAACCTAAATCTTCCCGACAAGATAATAAACTCGACACATCTTGGCACTGCGGGACGCCTAATATTTCTTCACGGGCTTTCCGCTATACGCTGTGTAAAAAAGGAATTCCCTTTAGTCAGTGCCGACTATCGTTTGTATTTCTGCGAGTCCTTCCGCGACCCCGAAACCATTAAAATCATATGCAACTTATACGATAGTAACGCGTCCTCTATGGCCTTTTGACCGGATTGCCCTGCTGGTAAAAATTCCATTCTTTCCTCTATCTCTCTCTCTATGTCTAAATTATCTATATCTGTATATATCACGTCCCTTTCTGTCCTGGCAACTTTTCTTATTTCCTCTCTGACCTCTTATTTAGCCTTTTTCACTCTGAATTTCTCTAACTTCTACTTTGGTATCCACCTACCCTGACTGTATACATATATATACAGATAGTTGATCTGCCCAGGGGCTTGCATACGTAATCTATGGTTTCGGTTTACGTGGGTGCATAAGTGAATCTTGCACTTACCAACATCAATGTTTCTTTTTCTTCTTCTTCTTATTCTTTAGAGCTAATGCGCAAATAATGTCCCTGGCTTCTACATGTAATCTTCGGTTACGTCTAACTCATCTAGTCCCTACCTGCTAAGATTCGATTCTAATGTGATTATCATTGCGATAGAAAGTTTAGCTGACAATAAGAAGGATTTACTGTGCTACAATTTTTTCTATAGCTGTCAGGTATCTTTAACGTGGCAAATCGCCGTGGACAAGAAATTATTAATATTATGTAAAACGTTGCAAAATTTATTAGCAATTTCAACCGGATAAATAATTTATTGAATTCGACAAATATGATGAATTCAAATTTTTTAAATCTTATAAACAATTTATCGATTGAAATTTACCAATAAATATATAACCTTTGTCCATTTATTGTCACGCGATAACCAATATAATTTTCGCTTTGAATTAATCTATCCTTTAAATGGTTCTGATCAAATTGATTATCTAATCACACTAATGTGATTATCGATGATCAACAATTATTTAACGCATCGTGGGTGTCCGATGATCAGGCTCTTTATATTGTAACTGATAGTAACAACGGCGATGATGATAATACAAATTTAAAATAAAAAACTCATTGTCATTATATGATCAGGATACGAGATCGTATCCCAAGCAGGTGGTAGTTTTCTGACAACAATTTTTATTTAATCAAGCTTCCGGTTAACCATAAAGATAATAAATCCTCAATTCAGGGTAATTAACGATATATTAAATAAAATTAATTGAACTGTATCGAATAATCCCAGACTCACCCAGTATTCCGTCAATGGAGTGGTTACGTCGAGGATCATCCCCAGGTCTTGTCTGATTCGAAGGACCTCGAAGAAGCCTGGAGATGCTTGATACAGACGGAGCGGATGCTTTGTCACAGACTCCATCCTGCTGGCAGAACCACATTGGACCAGTTAGTATAATCTCAATAAAAATGGACAATGATCGTGATAGGCATTAAAGAAAAATATATTTTTGTTGTCAAAGATGAAATGAAATTAATTTTTTTCCAAAATTTTACACATCGATCGTGTCAACAGACCTTGATCAATTTGTCCCTGATCTCCCAGCTGAAGATTCCGGGATTCTGCCTCTTGAGATCTTCGATCCGTGCTTCAACTTCCGGCGTAGCTACTCTCGGTTTACTTCCGCCAATTACACCGGGTCTGATGGATCCAGTTTCCTGGTAGCGATTCAGTATCTTCGAGACGCATCCATGCGAGACGCGCAACTGTCTCGATATGACGCAAGGCCTAACACCAGCAGCCGCCATTTCTACAATCTTTAGTCTTATGTGATTCGGCAAGGGTCTTCCGTTTATAAATACTCCACCGAGCTGATTGACTCTGCCCTGACCTGTAAAAAATGTAAAAAGTGTCGTTGTCAATGAATTTCAAATATTCTTCACTTTCCCTTTGGCTACTTTAAAGCCGTTGCAGTCTAGCATTCGTATTTCCAATATGGCCTCTCGCGCGCATGCGCACACGCAAATCTCGCTGTAAAACAAGCGTAGAATGCGGTGCGAAAGACGTACACGCGAGGTGCCGCTAAAACTCTCCTAATTACTGGTAATTAGAGCCCTCTTAATTAACTTAATTATAATTACGAAGTCAAACAAATATTATACGGCCGGTCACGCGGCAAAGAAGCGAATGAGATGCGGCCAGAGTCAGCTTCTCGCGTGCATCTTGTATGTATACACGTACGGACAGATGGACAGACAGGAGTTACGGCCATACTGTTTTGCTGCAAGTACTTAAATCCGCTTCTTCGTCGTTCTCAGGATTCGGACCAAGTTATCTCTTCTTGAGTCTCGAGAGCGAGTCAAACGACAAGAGCCGGCCCTTTTACTTAATTATTCTTAAAAATTATCCTAGTCATTTACATGGCGGCCAGTTTTGTATGCTAAGTCATACTAACGTTAGTCATCAACACGGTATGCTTTCACGAATGTATTTTTTAATTTTTTTTAAAAGAACCCGCAGTCGACACCGACACGTACCGTACGAGAGACGCGATCCTTTTTTAGAAATTTTAACATTCTCGATATATCATTAGATCAGGCAAATTTACTTTTCCAAAAAAAAAAAACCAAACGCTTTGAATTTGAAAAAACTTCAAATGAATATTTTAACCGATACTCAATTAGACTTTGAATGAATACGTATATTGTAACTGATATGTGTCTGGCACTGCTAATTTTTTTTTTTTTTTGGCAAAATTTATACAGACTTCGTTTCACTCACTTTTTTGCATACATTAATCCTCGAAAAGTGTACGAAGGTTAGAATGTTTTATTGCAACGATACAAACGTCACTCATAATGTTTTTTTTTTAATTATAACAAATACCCACGTTGTTACTCCATTTAACAGATGTAGGTACCTGCAAGCGCGGAATGTATTGGAAACAACAGAGACAAACGTATCGCCCAGTGATTTGAGTTTTACGAGTTTGCCGATAATTGAACGCGATAAAGAACCATTGTTGTTAGAAGAGTTATTAGATGCGCCTGCACGTGGAATTGCATCGGGAGAGTACAATTTTCTCGGATAAATTCACCATATAGAAATAGTATCGAATTACAGAAAAATATTTCGAATTGACAATTCACACGTAAATTCAATACATTACCACGGAGCGAGGTAAATTTTCCATACATTTTTCAAAAAATTAATCAAAAACTACAATCACTTCCTGTACCTCGCATAATAATTCTATGCATTACTTTTCTGCGCAAATAATAATAAACTTTGAAAAATTGCCTGCTCATGAAACGCGGGATACCACTCCGTGAAAATTAATTTATTCTTCAATGCAACTTTTTTAGCCATGCACCATGCACTTAATGTTTTCCCCGCTAATGCAATGCATCTCGTTTCAAGATGCATAGATGTTTACGCCATAAGTACATATGCACGTGTACGTTATACGTATGCGCGAGTAATCCCAACACGTAGGAAGAACAGAAGAAGACGACGGACACCTCGGGTATGACGTCAGACAGGCCGCGGGGCCCGACGGGATTACAGGCAAGATCAAAAGGCGCCGACCGCCGCACACTTGGTGCGCGCGCGCCCTCTTACTCGGGACTCAGGCCCACCAGTTGGGTCCATAGCGGACCCAAAGCGAAATGGCTCAGAGTTAAACCTCCCGACAGGATATGGACCCTTTTGCATAGGAACATATATATCTATACATATATAGAACGCTGAAGCAGCGTAAATTGTTATCAAAATTTTTGTCCGACAATACAACAGTGTGTTAATTGCATTAGATTTTCATTACGAATGATTAAAGGCATTAATTAATTTTCTTTATTACCATCTGGCGGCGTTGAGATTACCTAATACTTTTTTTTTTCTCGAAATGCGGCCTTTTTTTCAAAAGAACTCATTAAGCGGAACTACATTTTTGTTTATGAAGAATTGTTCATCTTTCGTTTCAACAGCTCGGAGGCCACTGGAAAGTTACCAATTGCCTTATGGCCGATCGCCAGGTATGCATTTTTTTTAGTGACAGTCAGTTGGTACTAACTCGGTGAAGACTTTGTGTCACAATTTCTTTGGACTTTGTATCCGCAATATATTTCGTAACTTTGTGCATTAGGCATTCATGCAGTTTACATGCAAATTGAACTTTTTGCCATTTCGTGATTTACGTCTGATAAATGATTTTTCCTGTACATAAGGTTTGCAAAGGCGATACAGTGTTAAGAAACAAAGTTTATGCCTAGCGTGCTAAGACATTATAAAGATGCAGCGAACTTACGTGACCATTTTGTACGATAATTGAATGTCATTTAACCAATCGAGATATTTGTGTACTAAAGGGGCTTGTTTATTACGAATTCACGTGCTTCACAGCAATTTAGATTTTTTTTTGAATTACTGTAACCACGTGCTTTCTCAGAATATCATCTGCAAGCGGATGCTGTAAGACCAGTTGCCTGATTGTTTCGCGAAAGGACCACCCTGTAGTTTGGTGGTGTATAAATTGAGGGAGCAAAATAATATCGAACATGAATTATTGATCACGGGCAATTGATTGTAAGGCGATCATGTTAATGACGATGATCGAGAGGATGTGACGCGATAGCCCTGATTTGAATTCGCTGAACGTCATTAATGGCGGCCTTAGGTTCCTGCGGTTAGTTCGTTTTATCATATCGATATATCAAAATATTCAGTAATCGATGATTTTCCAGTTAAATTACCCAGTGTAATGCACTCTATCAAAATAATATATGTAAATACAATAGGCATTGCATAAAGATCTAATTAGATTAAATATCTGTTATAAATTAAAAAATTATAACCTAGATCTTGATTAATTGATGAAGATAGTGTTTATCAAATCAACCTTACAAAAATTAATTTTTTTTTATTACAAAAGTCTAACCCTTTGACTCCACTGTTTAGAAATTTTCGCAAGACGAGATTCCCTGTGTATTAACATCGCACGAAGTACACGTACGGTTACATATGCACATACGCTGCACGGTAACCCAATGAAACGAACTCTTGAACCCGAGTATATAAATCTAAACATTTTTAATTTCTAAGCCAACTTTCAACTTCCAATTTCCATAAATCTCAAGGTACGGCAAACGCGCTTACGACAAATGACAAGAAGAAATTGCGATATGTAAAACGTGTAGAAAAAGAATTTCTCCAGGTTAACGAATCCGCGAATAAAATTATTCATTCAATATTACTTCGACTGCCAACCCAACTTGACGCAATTTTTCTTAAATAATTATGTTATCTAATCAATGATCAATGCCTTCGTTCGTTACGTATGTTAAATTTACATACCAACAAGTATGCGGACAAAAACATTTCCCTAGTTGCACTTTGGTTTTCAACACTTCTCACCCTTTCCATCAATCTCCACCAGATAGCAAGATAGCATAGTATCTAACTTTGTGTGGGAAGTTGGTACCCACAAGGATCCATGCACTTAGAGTTCGGTGTGAGTTCCAGGTTGCGAGGGCTTCAATCAACGTGCCGTCGCCTCCGGCCGATCCGATATCAGACATTAGGTACCCACGTCCAGAACCTCAACCTGAACATCTCTTGTACCAACGTCCACCAATACCACGGCGTACACCTATATCAGCCTACCCGTACCTTCTGCCCCTCTTGGTACCTTCTTCATGGACAAGGTCCCTGAATACCTGAATGCCTGCTAGGTTGACTGTCTGATTGCCTGAGTTCGTTCCATTAACGTCTCTCGATGGAATGGCATTGTTTCGATTGGTACCGCTATTTTACTTGGTGTTATTTACTTGCTTATGGGTCTGCAAAGCATTCTGATTGTGCTTTACTAGTCCGGAGTAATGGTCATTGTGATTGAGAATTTTATGAGGAAATTTTATTATGGGAATTCTTAAGCTACAATGGGATATATTGAGATTGCTAATGTTCTGTGAGGTAAGGTGACGTAGCGCTGTTGGCTGTTATTGCTGGGTTAGCTCGATCAAGGGATCTTTGTTGGGGCGTGTATTTTGTTTTGGTATTGTGAAAACTTGTTTGATAAATCTTATGAGACGTTGATTGAACAATTTTCTTTCTGTTTAGGGAATAACGACGTGTGCTCTTTTTTAATGGCATGATTGTTCGGCTAATATTTGGTATTGAAGTGTTGAGGCTGGGTGGGTTCGCGTTCGATGAATTTTCAAGGGAGTCCAAGAGCCGCTTTACTTTATGGGCAGACATTATTGTTTTATGGCTTGGAAGTTTCGCTTATAACTGGTTTCGTGCTAAGTCCAGACGTCTTATATCTTCTAGTTCTTTGAAATTCCTTTGGGATCGCGATGCACCATCATTCTTGTATTTCTTTCTGTCTCTTTTTTTTCAAGGATAAATACATATTTTACTAGGCCCTTATTCAACTGGTAACGTCGGATGTCATTTACGAAGAGCAATAAATTTGTACCACCCTTTCTGTTCTTAATGATTTTAGTCGAAAGCTGTCATTGTTTGTGCGATTCTACGTGATCTTGTTCCCTTTGTTATAAACAGTTTATTGTTTATCTCGGAAGTGGAGCAAAACTGAAATCTTTGCCGGACCGTCGCTCGATTTACAAAGAGTTTTAACAACGAACTTAATGTTTATAGGACAGTACAAAGATATTTCATTAATCAATAAAAATTAAATGTTGATATTTGTTTAATATATCTAAGTCAATTTATCAGTCTTAATAAACAATATCAAGGAATCCATCATAGCGGTATATCCAAACTTAAATAATAATAAAGTATAGTGGTACAGTAATAAATAATAAAATATCTAGGGTTCATTTATAAAGTTAAACATTAACCGTATTATTTATTTTAGAAATTTAAATGATGATTTAAAAACAATTATATTGCATCAAATCGCAAATTCGTAATAATAATAATGATCTATAGATCTCTTAAATCTCTTTTTTTTTTATCTATACAATTCCTACCTTGAAATGGGTATCCAGTGAAGTAAGGTGCCATGTTGAGTGTACTGACAGCCATCTAGAGGTAGGATTGCACTGAAAATTCCAGGATGCTCTTTGTCCAGAACCGATCACTCGCGTCACACGTTCCTGAAGTTAGTCGCGTATCGTAATGGGGTTGCTGTCGAGATTGTTGTCCAAGTATTCGAAAACTAAGGGATGAAGATTCGCGTTCGCGGGTGAAAAGCCTGAAGACGATGAAGAGCGGACCTGTGGCAGGCTCGAGGTCTCGACTCGGACTGAATTCGAAATCGGTTCCGGCGGAGGCCTCCGCAAACGTCAGTGAGGTCGAGAAGGCCCCGCCTTCGTCAAAGAGGCCCACGAAGAAAGTCTTGCCTCGCCATTTAGATTCTCTTCGTGTTGCATTGGCTCTTCAACAGGCATCTACGAGGAGGTGGTCTTGGCTGAAGCTCCGCCCGTCTTGGACGCCTTTCTCTCCTTGCAATCTTCATACTGTATTTCTTGAACTTTTATGGAACTTGAGTGCGTAAGATTCGTTGAAAAAAATTTTCAACATTTTTCAATTTAAAACTGCATAATTTTTAAAAGGTTCAAAAACTTCGGTACTAAAAATAATTGCTGATATACCAAAATTGACCGTATCTATTTTTCCCACGTACTAGATACGATTTAAAAAAAGTTTTTTTTTACTTCACCCCGTCAACACCCTATTGCTGATACTTGATTCAACCATTTAAGTTTACATTCTGTAATATCTCATTGGACAAAACCTACATTATCTCTTCAACTTTTCAACTTTATTTGATGTTGAAGCAAATTTTTAATTTTTTTAATAAAAGTTATTCATTTATTGAAAATTAATCGATTCTTATCGAATAGATATTCATAAGGTCCATTTTAGGTCTCATTTTTAAATACAATAAGAACCCCACATCAACATCCCAACCCAGTAACCCTTTTTATTGTTACAATCAGAAGCTCAGAGAACACCTCCATTTCAAGGACACGCGCATACCAACTTCTGCATCTGCATCTGCATTATGGATCGTGATAGCACGTGTCGTGATTGTAGTTTATGAGGAGCTGATTGCAGGTGCGTGGGAAGGGTGCAACATGGTGGAGCCTAGTTTGCTTCTACCGACGCCATTCACTCTGGACCAGTTATCCACAGCCATGTCAGTGTCTCGTTTCCCTTCGTAACCATTAAGGTATGCCCTGAACGATAACGACGAGAGAATCCGCGGCATCCACATAGTAGCAAACATGAAGAAGGAATAAAAATTAGTGCATGTGCATACGAATGCCCATAATAAATGTGCAGTAAAATTTTCATCGCACCCTCACGCTCTTCCTCCACGCTCCGCAAAGAATTTCATTTTGGTGTTTCCTGTCAAATGAAAATTAATCATACCAGTCACTTGGGTTCACGCCCACGGTTTTTTTCGAGCAAATTGCAAACTACCCCTATCTACGGGATAGTAAACTCCTTCCTCTGTGAGTAACATTGCACCTGTCAAAATACATCAATGCATGAGTAATAGTTGCAATTGGCTGAATACAATAGTACAGATATTCAGATAGTGCAAAAACCGCACCTCTTCAGCAGTCTTCAATGGGAACAATTAGGTGGCAGCCCAAGTCCCAAGTAGGGCCCAGCCTTCAATTTGGATGACAGTTAAAATTTTCAATTTAGGAATGCATCCAGATATCCCCATGGGTTAACCAGTTTGAGGTATTATGCTGAACAATGTCAGCCAATGGCAGAAGACCTTCCACAAGAACGGACCAATCGTCTTTCAGATCTCAGAGAAAGCTTCCTAGCTTCTATAGGTGTCAATTCTATGCATCTCTTAGTCTCAGATGGGATTCAAGAGATTGATCATCCAAGCAGGGTGCTCCTCTTCAGCAATCGTTCCGTTTAGCGTCTGTTCATGTTGAAAAAAAAAATTTACAGTCCTGGGACCACTGCGACGATTCCCAATTGAGATCTCATCTACGTGATGGAGCTTGCTCTTGGGAGGAGTTGACAACATTTCATCTTTTCAAGACCCACTGGTATCGTTCGACTCAAAATGTCTTTATTTCAAGGAATTTTATCAGGTCTCGGTGCCAAAAATTTCTCGGTACCAAAAATTTCTCAGTAAACAACTTTTTCACCGATTGTCTTCTGGATGAAAAATCGATAGAGTCCATATACGGTATCTATATGACGGATTTTGAAAACAGGTCACGTGATAATAATAAAAATTTTGAAATGTCTATTAAAATAGTCACGTCCGATGTGTTAGTTAATAATTGTCTGACTAGCAAGTCCACGTTGAGAATGGCTCGAGCATTAAGTAATAGCTCGCAATGTGATAGATGGGTCACATGCCGATCGTTCTTGTTGGCAAGGCCCATTAAAGCGCGTGAGCCTCGACAAGACGGACCCACGTTTACACCTGAGCTGGGACTCTGGGGTCCCAAGTTCGGGCGCAGTTAATTGCCAGCATTTAATGAGGACTCTTTGACGCGCCGCAGAACCGCCATGGTCAACACTGCCAACACTTTACACATCTAGACTCTCTACAGAAACATTCGGAATGGCCGAACCTTCGCGTTCAGATTTGACCAGGGACCTGTGAGAGAAAATAAAAAAAAGGAGTCATTTTTTCTCTCGAATCTTTTTTATACTGTCCCTGTCGGGTAGGGATACTTGATTTGATTGAGATATCTTGCCGCTACTCGAAATTTCTACTGATATTAAATGTAAGTATACATATAGAGTATATATACTCTTACAGAATATAGTATATATTCTGGAAACAAATTAGTGATAACACACCATATAGATATATGCGAATGATTTTATATGGGATTAATAAATATATTGTCCGTATGACTGTAGAGTTTATTATACATATTGTCGTTTTATGGTAAATTTTTAGACCTAAATATTTTTATTAAAATTAAATATTCATATATTTTATTTTCAAGTATACTATAGCAAAGGGATACTTATGTATTGTAGAATAGTCACTTGAATAATTAGTATCGTTAGCAGTCATTTGATATCTAATGCAATAAAAGAACGATTAATATAGATTTTACGTGCACATACCAGATCGTTGAATAATATTACATCTTATTACCTACCTTATTACTGGACCATTTAGGTATATGGGATAAGTAGCATAAGAATGTTTATATAATTTGACGTCAAAATGTACCATTTGGTAAATGCCGTTTCAGGTTAGATGCCTTGGTGGCTATTCGGTTTATAATTTAATTATTAATTTTCCAAAATGCACCAAAAAATTCATTAAGAATTTCATTAGTTAAGAAACATTAGTTAACGACCGTTAAAGGACGCGTATATCTTTTCATTGTAAACTTTATAAAATTTTTTTTACCTAGTATAAAAATTTCGAAAATTTTAACGCAGTAGTATTACGTGAAATTGATGCTGGTTATAAATAATTAAACGTGACTTGCCATTAGTCATAATGCACTTTGCGATCTTACGCGCAAATACCTGGAAACTATTAAAATTATAATCGTCGTTTCCTCTTTGAATTTTATTCGCATTGAAATATATACGGAGAATTGCATAACGTAAAATCTATAAAAGGATCATTTGTTAGACGCGCGCGTCGAGGAGTACTTTTTAAAAATATTTAATAACAATTATTATCACGTATAAATAAAAACAATCTTTTGTTTACCATTCAAAACCATCCTTGATCAAATAACCGTGTCACGAAGTAATTAAAAGACTCGAGTTATGATTTTAATTTTTATTAGCACCATAAACACCCGAAGACAATACACCATTTAATACTTCGCCCACGTGCAGTAATAATTTCTTACTATCAGAACGAGTAGCCTACACATCGGTACACTGTATACATATTTCGAGCTCCAAGCCCGAAGAACTTCCTGTTACGAGATCAGATCAACCCAAATACTACGTGAGTCGTGTAGCAGCTACCCTGTCACTACTATGTAAATGTAGACCTCGAGTAAACAGGTTTTCAACAGAACGTGTTAAATAATCAAGGTTAATAAATATTCTTGCCAGAATAATTAGTAGAGTCATTGATTATCAACTTTTCATTTTCGTTCGTACATCGACTATGCACAATTGAAACGGATCGATCGAATCAAAATAACAAAGTTGAAAAATAAATATGAAATAATGATTTGGTCTTGTGAAATTTTTATATTTTATTTTTTGACTTGCGCGTTATCAAATTTGATTTTTTTTTTCTTTTGACAGTCAGTCCAACCATCGTGGTTCCATTGAGGAAAGTGGCGTCGTTAACAATGGGCGGCAAAGACCACACGCCAACGACCACAGGTAGCCCCGGATGCTTCAGGAAGAACATTCCATGGGACATCGTATTCGTATCACAAGTCTAAAAGAGGTGGAGGAGGAAGAAGAGGAGCGAGTAGTATAGAGTTTGCCAACAATCGGCTCATTGACAATTGCGGTCACTAAATCAAGATGGCGGCACTTTTGTCGGCAAGCTTGAAAATGGCGGTGCGCCTGTCAAGTCTTTGTGAGGGTTGCCGACGCCATTGTTGGAATACGATTCGAGTGGCTTCGAACACGGGAAGTACAATGCGTGTGACAAAAAGGTACGAGGCCACCCCTGACGTCATTTGTGCAATCGATGTTTTTCCCTTTGCAGGTTACCGACATGTTTCCCGCTGTTATTGCCTTTACTGCTTTAGTCATTTAAACCCTTTTATAATGTTAGGATTTTTGTTAAAAAAAATCGTGGATAAGGTATATTTCTTGTTTTTTTTTTTAATTTGGATCTTGGGTCTGATTGATGGTACGTAGGGATTAGCTCAAGGAAAATAAAGGCGTGCGATCATCCATTGGTCTTATTTAAGGTATCCGTGGGAATCATGGGGATAATACGGGAAGTTGTACGTAAGACCGGAAGACGAGGATTTTCCAGCCAGCTGACTTTGACCAATGGCAATCGATTACGTCGAAAATGGATTGGTCGCAGAGACCACCCTTGAAAATTGGTGGGTATGTCAATATTGCGTTCGGAATCGGCTTTTGCTGCGAATCCAATTGATTTTGCAGTGACTTCTCTGATGTTAAGGTATTTACGTTTTGACCTAACCAATAAATAGAATGATAATTTGCAATCAACGTGTACGTTAATTGGATTAAGATTTAAATAACAGACATAGGAACTCTGGTAAAAAGTTGCACTCAATGTTATATCGTGGAAAGAGAAAACTAATCCATAGAACAAAATTCTGTACATCCAAGACCACTTGGTCTTTATCTAAGACAATGATAATTAATTATGGTTACCGAAGAATTCGGGATCGCATCCATTTGTCCTACATCCAATAACAATTAATTATCACTGTTATTGAGCATGACTTGATGATAGTCAACTATTCATTTGCCGATCGCGTGTTTAGCTCTGAGTACTTTAAGTCGACCGTTATATGTATAGTTATATTTGTTTTAAATTACAGGGACACGTTAATATATCGTACTTGTTATAACGACTATAAGATATTTTATTTGTAGTGACTATTGTATATGCCGCTTGAGATTTATACAGTAACCATTTTCTCCTGACATCTTATCCGCATCAGAATATCTGGGGGGACTAATTTCCGTCAGAAGATGGATCAGGATCAGTTGACCCTTCGGAGACGTCAAGAGTCCGATTTCCCAAGTCGTAAAGTAGCCGAGTGGTTCTCAGGCTTGCTGGTGGCTGTTTAGCCGGTTTTATGCTCTCATTAATGGACTGTTGTGGCTCGGTGTGATGGTATCTGCCACCGTTTCATTTTATAGGAGTTTTGTCATTCGACGATGAGTTAGGAGATCGGCTTTCAGATCAAAAGTAATTAAAATTTCAGTTTGTCCTTACGAAGTTCTTTGAGCTTGCCGAACTGATGACTATTTGGCCCTCTTCTGTCGAACGTTGTAGTTCGATAAAACGTTTGAGAAAATATTAAGTTTAAACCCGTGTTCATTGTATTTCATACGATACGGACGATATTTACTTGTTTCTCTATTTCTTTCGATGATTCTAAATGCTTTTTCATGACAATTTTCGAATATTGATATGTGTAGTTATAAACTTGGTATTGTAGCGCCATCTGCGTTAAAGAGAAAATGCCGGTATTACCCAGTAATGGCAGTGAATTGAATTACTGTAATTCAAAAGAAAGCTGCATTGGCTTCTGACGGTAATTCCTTAACCAACAATTGATTGAAAACTAGCATCGGGTAACAGTAGAAATCTTTTGTGGTTGTTTCGTTGTTACCGACGGCGAAGAAATTGTGGGATAATACGCGCAGCGCCATCTCTGCATTTTTAGAACTAATCGTTAGACACATTCAGTACACCCAATTTAAACTTAGATGGCGATACTGTTTAGTGGAAAGACGGTTGCCTAAATACAGGCGAGTTTATTTAAGGTGCGTTCCGAAATGTACTGGTAGTACTGCCAATACTGTAACCAACGCTGTGTCCTTATTCATCCATACGCATCTGAGAGGGATGTAATTACTTTTACAGTACTGTCAGTATATTTCGGAACGCACCCTTAACCATATGTAATAATATTCAGTATGTCACAAAGGGTACGCAATATTGCATTTTGTACTATTTTCTACAGCAGCATTTGGGGAGTATAATGTCTGTGAGCTACGTAGGTTTCATATAATTTTTGCGTCAATACAATGACTACAGTTCCAACTATAGAATTTAGAGAGAAGTAACCAATCATGTTCGCGTATCGTTCTCAAAAGTTGCACATGATTGGTCAATCCTATTTAAATCCTGCACGATCGAAACTTATGTTAGTCAATAGTCATCGTAATAAAGTTTCCGAATTCAAGTTATTAATATATCGGGAGCATGCATCTGTCAATCCAAACTTATACAAATGATTTTCATCGAAAAATAAACATCGACAATTGTTTGATATATTTGTATGTATAAATTTATTCTTATTGCTATCACAGGCTTATCACTCGCGAATATTAAGATAAAAACAAAATAAATATCTTACAGGAAAAAAGTAATATATAAACTATACTGTAAATATAACTAACGCCAGTAAACAGGCACATGTCGTAATGATATAAATGTGAGAACAAAAACGTACAGTAACGTAACGATTTCACGTGTGAAGTGCATTAATAATAATAAATAAGAAAAAGTATATTATAATTACATGCCCTGTAAATATATTACGAGAGTAAGCAATAATAAATGCTGTATCTCAAAATAGAAGTAGTAAAATTCACTACGTCCATCTCCGTATAAATGATTGTTCAATCTCCATAATTATCCAATACGAAGACATTACCGTCTATCGATTTAAAGCCAAGTACCAAAATATTTAACATTCTCATAAAGTCATCTCTATGTATCTAATAATAATCTATGCTATAAAGTAAACAGTCACTATATTTACCTCAATCGAATAATGATCGTAAAACTTATAATAATAGGATATCAAATAGTGAGTAATGTCCGTTATAAAAAAAAAAAACCTATTAAAATATCCCTGTAATGATTTGTCTGTATAATCGTTGTCACGAATTCCATAATAAAAAAACTTGTTTCAAATACATCAAAGACCTAGTCAATAATTTTAAGACTCGAGTGAAGTCTAATAAAAGGAAATATGAAAATTGATTGAAAACTTAATAAACAACGGCATCTTAATACGAATCAAGTCACATCGGTTTTAACTGCTATTAATATTATTCTTAATTGTTCGTAAGACAATTAATAAAAGTTTTGATACGCATAACGATAATTATTCTACTGTTTAATTGGCAAACGATCATTGTGCTACCAAGGTCTCCACATGGGATCTTTCTCATCGACTCTTTCAACGTCAATCTCCTCCTCCTCGTCAATATCCGTCTTACTTATCTTAATTGTCAAATTTTGAAATATCTTTTCACGATTCGGACACTCGCTTCTTTTCGGACTCAAACTCGAGCTGGGTGTTTCGATGCTGACAGCCTGATTAAAAGTAGAGGTCAGACTGTGCGGAGACGCATAAGCTGCTTTCACTATTGTACAATTCTCAATAGTATTTTCAGACGTTCCCGAATACGAGGAAACACTCTTCGGCGTGGAGCATCGTCTGGTGGTAATATCCGGTGACGTAATCGGTTCACAAGGTACCAGAAGATTGGCAGTTTTCTCCAAGGTGGCGATGGTCGGTGACACCAGATCTCTCTGTGGCGGCATCTGTCGGATAGAATGAATAAAATATAAAATTTATCAAAGTGGTACGGTAGCGATAAGAAAAAAATTGAATATTAAAAAAAAATTTTTTTCATCTACCGCTTATTAATTCTCCCAGGAATACTGCTTGTAAAGTATCAGTAACGATGGATTTTAATTAACTTCATAGTTAACGAGTATGAATAAAAAATGGACAGCGATACCGGTAGTTTGAAATTAATAGCTGGACACCGGATACGTTTCATGTTACATTCGGCATATATAATAGTAAGACTGGACGTTTTCGAAAAAATTTTAAAATAAACGTTACCCCGTCCATTCCCCAAAATTACCAATTACGCGTATGTTCAATTAACACGGCGAGAGAGAATAATAAAAAATGTTGACGTGTCCATTCATACGTACCTGAACGTTTATCTGTCGGGTGAGCTGTAGGCCAGTGGCAAGATGTCTGGCAAGTTTTTCAGCAGCCTCGCCCGGAAGTGCAGCCAAAAATCTACAAGCTTCCGTAGCACAATGTCCAAAACCCGATTGCCATCTACTCTCGGCAGACGCCTCTTCGCTGGGAGTAGCCGAAGTAGCCAATCCCGATGGTCTCGAAGCCTGAAGCCTCTGAAGATGACGCACAGTCAGTTCCAATATATCAGCCTTCTCCAACTTGCTGATATTTTCGCCCTCGGTCTAAAAAAAAAAAAACCACACCTTAAAAAAAAAAGTTAATACAAAAAATCACGCACACCTCAAAGCATTCCACTCAATCATCAAAATCAGTAAAATCGACAATCGAAGACCAAAAAAGAGCCTAAAAGCCACGTTGTACATAAATGACGAGATAAAAATTCATAAAATAACAATCCGTTATGCGAATAGCCGAGAAGAACTGAGTACAGATTAAAGTAAGTGTTTCGAGTATCACGGGGCCCGATAATGACATTGTTACACCCAGCGACTAGCTGAGTCCCAATAACGAAAGGCCTTCCTTCACTCCAACACTCCTTCCTTCCCTTTGTGTTGCTTATCCGTTCTCCTCTTCTACCAGTATTTCATTTCTTATACGAGCAGGAACGGAACAAACGAACACCGATATCCATCGGTTCTTACATTCAAATTCCGGCAATGAAATTGAATCTCGCCACGGTCTGGTGAAGCTGCGAGGACCAAACTCGTGAAGCCGTGAACGTTCGTGAAGACTTCGAGTCTCCCAGCTAAACCTCGGTTCACACGAACCGCTCGCTCGGGCACGGATCGTGCGCGACCGAACCGCAAGAACGCTTCTTCTTCTTCTTCTTCTTCTGCTTCGGTTTTCTTTACCTTCTTCTGATACACGTATTTTACGTCCATCTACAAGAGGGATACTTCGTCTTTCACCTTGTCAGACTTCTTCAGAGGTTTGTACCTCCGGTGCACGGGTCCATGGTCTTGATACACTGTTTACTTTTGGGGATGGGATTGGAGGGATGTCCGAGACTAATCCGGGTTAAAGTGTCATGTACACAGAAGAGAACTGGAACTTTCAATTCGTGAAGTGCTTCGAGTAAACGCAACGAATTCCACGTCGTGTCTTCCTAGCGGAACGGAATTTCTTAATCTGATCTCTTCCTACGTATTAATTCGAGAAGATTTACATGTTTCTTCTTTATTTATTTCTCTTTTATTTGTTCAAATACATATTTTCTGAGCTTTTATAAAGAGCATTCTCGGAAGCGCGAGTGTCACGGAAATACTTGAGACAAAAGAAAACGTAATACCAATGACGTCGCATTGAAAATAATTTTTATGTTAAAATGTAAAAATTAAATTTTTGTTTCAAAATAAAAAAATTATTCGTCGAACTTTTTTTTTTATTCACTCAATTATTTATTGTAATGTTGATCTTACTCGGCTTTTTTCCTCAACGACTAATATTCATGACGATTGACTAACAATCGATCTTTAGTATTTTTGGATCTTTCTTTTCTTTCCTTTTTTTATTATTCTTTATGCTTATCAGGCTTCACTCGATTCTCATTTCAGCTTTCGTCACTAGTTTCTTTCGACCAATCACGCTTCGATTCCGACGGATCGTGCGCGACCGACCGTCGACAAAAACTTGAGAACCCCCGTTGCTCTTGAGTTCCTTGTCTGATCTCGAGGGAGGAATTGTTTGCTTAGTAAGACGAGCGCGTTGGCAGGATGGAAGGAAATAATAGGACAGAGGGCGAAACGAATTCAGGTTAAAAGTCATGTACACATTCAGGATTATCAAGGGAGGGAAGTGTTCAACGATCTAGAACGTAACTTCTAGACTAGTCAGAATCAGTATTAACCATCGTGACCACTTACGCGGATCGCTTCAATAACTTGATTGGCTGTATAAATAATATGTAACTTTATGTTTTTATTTTACCTCAAGTCAAAGTATAAATACGTATTTATCGATCATTCCGGAGAAATAACTACATAAACATATTTTACGATGTTCGGCATTCATTTTAATGAACGTGCAATAATTTTAATCGAGTTACAGATATATTAAGTTTCAAGTGCCATGAAGGATTTTAAAATTAAGCCATCTTTTTGTCTGTCTGTCGTAATTTTCTTTTTTCATCATTTTTATGCCGTGATATGAATCTCGGGACTAAGATCGTTAAACTCAGATCGGATTGAGACGAGATGCGCACGATGTGGATGACGATAATGATAATGATAATAATGTTCACGATAAAACTGTGAAGTTTACACGATTCAGTACGTCCCGGTGAATTTTATAACGGCGCGCTTCCACGGAATGGGAAATCGTGGAAAATCCAAAAGGCGACGAGAAAACAACGACGCTCGTTGTTTTATGCATGTATGCGTTAGGCTTATCCGCGTGATCTTGCTCTCATGGCTTCAAGGCGGTTTCGATGAGAGGATTCCCGCGACTAAGTGGAATCCGTTTCCTGTCGTCGTAACAACAGGAGTTTAGACGCGAAACTATAGTTTCGTTGGATTTGGTATCCGACAAAAAAATTTAAGTCTCGTTCACACTGAACGAACGGTTCGAAAAATTGGGCACGTGCTCTATTCCGCGCGACGAATTCGAGCGCGAAGAAATATGACAAACATTTTTATTGATTCGTGCTGTTCTTATGGCTGAGAACCGCAGCAAATCCTATGGTCATGGTCACTTTTATCAATCCTCTTATTTTATGTTCAAAATATTTCATGCGCGTTATTCCAAGCTTCTTTGCGCTCGACGACAAACTTTTTTTTCGCCTTGAAACAAAGAGTTTAGCATTTTTCAAATCAATGACAGTGTTTCCAATTGTTTCAATTGTTCGTAGCTGCGTTGAATACTTGCTTTAAACACTGCTTGTGGGTACTGTGTGGTTATGTTTGAACTTCCGGTACGAGGTACGTACAAGCAAGTATAGTAATTTTACGATTAGACTCACCTCCAGTGCGTCCACCATTAGATCCTTCAATTCCTCCAAACAGCGGTTAATGCGGGCTCGCCTTTTCCTTTCCAGCAGTGGCTTTGTTATCTGGTGAATTACAAATTGTCTACTGTATTTACAGTGCCCTTTAAAAATAATATTCACTGACCATATACAATTACGAAAATCTCACATTTCGTACAAAGTAGCACGAAGATAGCCCAAACAAGCGTTACGTAATAAAATGTGAAAAAGTAAGAAATTGCAGGAAAAAAGTTCCCAATTAAAGCAACGGGCAAACGTCATACTGAGATCTGGCAAGAAATATGACTTGACAAAAACGGTATCAAAAATAATTCGGACACGTCAAATTAGGTGCACAATTGGATATGTAAATACATACGAAAATAATATGAAAAGATCCAACACCGTTTAACGAAAAGAAGCTAGTATATATATTTTGTATACGTCAAATAAACTTTCTAGCCTAACAGCTTAGTTGTCATGCAAAAGTCAATGATCTTAGTTTGAGTGTTAATGCTTTTTTACGACTTACTTTTTTGTACTGATATGTCCTGGAAACCGGATGAGGATAGTCGTACGACATCATCGCACAGTTCCCGTGTTTAGTCCAAAAGTCTTCTTCGATCAGGATTCCGATGATTTTACCGACAATCCTCGTGACCGTTGTCAACGAAGTAAATAAACAAGGTCTGCCGTTTAAATCAAAGTCAAAATGGCAGCAGCCATATGTAAACTGCCGGTTTGTTTGACAGATTAAAAATTGAGTGACATTAGACAAGCGAGTCTCCTGCACTCTCCGTGGAGTCTCTCGCTGAACTGACTCGATGCCGAGGCAGCCATTCCTTCTTCCTTCCCTTCCTCCACGAGCCCTAGCCAATACACAGCCACTCTCTATCTCTCTCTTACACGTTCTCCCTTGAATACACCATATATTACTCTCCTTTACTTCTAAACTCCCTAGTTCTTTCTCTCTCATACCTTCGTCTGTTCTCACTTACCTTCGAGCATTCTCGAGGAACTTCGAACTCCTGAGAGACCATTTTGAATTCATTGACAATACAATTTCACCGGTCGACCGTCCGATTAGAATCAAATGAACTAGACATTTAGTCAAAATCTTCATCTCCTCGATAAGGATGCAATTTTTTGTATTTCTTTTCTTCAAAGTACTGGTATATACTTTTCTAACTGTATCTTCTATCTTTTTGTCTAGTCTATTAGAGAAACGTTGTAGTAATTCAGGTTAACCACTCGCTATTGTCTTTTACGAAGAATCGTACATCGATCTTCATTGTAGGAATACTTATACAGGATATTGAATCGCGGGAGTGATAGTATTGAATTTTAAATCTGTCACGCGTGCCTGGTATTATTTAGCAAATACGACGATTGTGGCGATTGGAATACGAGTCGATCAATCGGATCAATAACGTGAAATACCATCGCGCCCGTTGGTAAACTTCTTAATTGGCGAGAATCGTACTTTCACAAGAGAACATATTCTTCTAAAATATAATTTCTCCTACAGGATTTTATATTCACTAATATATACGCTCTGCTGTGAGAAGCAATAAAATTTTGGACGATACAACGAAACTTTTTTTTAAATAATTTTTTCTCAAACCAGAAACCTCACTTACCCTTTATCAAATGTTTGAACGTGCTATCTGACTCTGATGCATTTCGTGCATATGCACTGTAGGTACCAATCGTGGGTACTTGATACTCTGGCAACACTCGAGACGACTTGACAGCTAAACGCCGTTTTAACGCCGGCTTAACGCCGCTCCAACAGCACGCCGCTTTGCGTATCTGGCGAATGGTGAGCCGATAGCACTAATGGAGTACCACTTATCGCTCTCTGATGTTCAGCGAGAGGCCAAAAATTTGATAAGGGACACCGGGAGAACCTCAAGAGTGCAGTCCACATTCTTTCTCGCCTCGTCCACTTTTCATAAAGAGGATGAAGAAGAGTCCACGTATTCTTAGGCGGTCGATAAACAATGAGATTTTCACTACGTATTTGGGCCTCACCGTATCAGACTGACCCAATCGTAGTAAAAACTGCTATAGACAGACTGGGCATAAGATTTCGAAATCTTCCGAAAAACATGATAATTGAACGAAAACTATTTTGTGAAAAGTTTTTTTGATAATTTCGTTTGGGACCTATTAACAGAAATTTCGAATGAGACAATATGTACGCTGGATTAAAGGACGATGAGAAGTTTAAATAAGGACGGAGCTAAAGAGAAAGAGAGAGGGAAAAGGTAAGATACATAAAATGGCGTAGCTTCGCATTTCGGTGTGGTTCTTTTTTCTTTTTCGCCGACTGGTTGCGGTCTGGCGTCTCAAGTCCCAAGAGTCCCACAGGTCTCCGATGACTTTCGAGGAGTCGCGGTGGTAGCTTCGCGGCTCGAGTACCGGGAAGAGAAACAATAATTAGTGATGTCATCCGAATGGACGATATGTGAGTTATCTTGGGCCTTATCGCGTGCCGAGTCGGTTAAGCGGGGACCCAGGTAGCGCTTGAGACGTGCCAGTGTTTACGACGGCACGATGGAAGTGCCGTCGGCTGTTTTCGTAATGACGCCTCTCGTTTCCGCGTCGCGATAACCATTTGAGAATTGTAAGCTAGTCCCACCGCGCCAAAATCGCTCCGCCTCGCATGCACACACCCAATCTCCAAACGATAGATTAGAAGGATCGCAACACCGGAAATGATATCGGATGCTGCGGCGATTTCAACAGGACGCACAAACATCTCCGATTATGCGTACGAGTCTCGAGATACGCTCTTGAGAATAACAGAACTTCAATGGCGTCGAATGGAAGTGTTAATAAGTCGACTGTATTCCCAGAGTATTATCACTGTCAGAATTTAGAAATACGATAAGAAAACTTGCTCGGAAGTAAAAACACGAAAAAATCGTACGATCCTGTCGGAGATGAAAATGGAGAAAGAGGTAAAAAAATATTGTTGTGACGTCACAGGCGCGTAAAAGATATATTGAAAACAACGATCTGCCTTTTTTTGGAGATTTTTGGAGAATAACGATAGAAGACTTTTTAAGAGACAAAAATAGCAACACGAATGAGGGGAACGGATTGACTAGATGTATATAAGAAACGAAAGACATGGTAGGAAGGATGCAGAGATGTATGAAAAAAGGGAGATCTGTGTTGTCGGGCGAGCTCGGCTCGGCTCGGGTTGGGACGTGTGCTAGTCGCGTGTGGGGCTCGCGCCTGTCGGCGTCTCCGTCTCTCTGTCGGGCCCCGTGCCGGCTGAAGGGCCCGTGTGGGACGCGGGGCCTTGCCTCGTTCTCACGGTAGCCTGCGAGGGGCCCGCTTCCTCCGTTCTCCTCAACTTCTGCACCGAGTACACTACTCCCTCTTTCATTCCTACCTCCGTATGCTCTCTGCCTCCTTTCCTTTAGTAAGTATATACCATATTCTCCCACTAAGGAGCATAAGGCCTACCAGGATTGCCGAAGAGGGAACAGATGGGCCTTGGCCACGGGGCCTGACCGTGCGCCGCTATTTGCCTCTCGCTTACGATGCGACCCCACGGACACCAGGAAAAAAGAGACAAGAATTAAGAAAGAAAAAAGGAAAAATATTTTAACCACTGATCAATCGTAAATTTCGTACGTTTGCGGTCCCAAAAAAAAGTGGGTCCATCGACAAGAAAAATCGTACGGTAATACTTCGTTGTGATATCTGTTATCTTATCCGTATCTTTGGTACGAGAAGTTTTGCAAGATTTGCATGTTTAATAATTATAACGTATATATTTGCATGATCAATACTATCGATCCATTTCCTGTATTGGACTTGAAATGTTGACAGGCTATTGGATGTAGCTCGTATGATCGATGAATATCTAACGTGTATAATATAGAATTATATTTTATGTATTTGATCATTATGCGAATATTTTAGTATAGCATGCAGTCCAGTAGCAGTTTGTTCGAATCTCGCATAATATATGCTGACTTTACGAGTTTCCTCTCGGAGTGTTTTACCTTAATGGCACTTTTTTATTTTGGACTTCGTTATTTATGTGGGAATCGAGGACTCCGGAATTGAGAACCCGAGGCGCCCCGAGAATTCTGGGCCTTCTCGCGTCACCTGTCGCGGTGCTGCATGTTCATTAAAACGGGTTCTTCTTATTATACCATTGACGATGGTTGTCCGTGAATTTTATGGGCGATAGGGCAACAACTTTTTTCTTGAACGCACGCGAATTCCAATAACATACACCGTCACGATGAATTGCACAGAAGTAAGTCATTAAGGAACCTCTCGACGAATACAAAATACGAGGATGAAATCGTACGTGAAGCGTAATTTAAAATTTCACATAAAAATTCTAGGTACAGGGATGGTAATATTTTACGACTAGGTATCTATTGTTGAGCGTACATTGAAATTCCCATAAAAAAGATTATGCTACGTGATACTAAAAATGATTATTATACACAGTGGAATATATTAATTAAGGTTGCCTAAGAATAATAAATATCCTTAAATTTATTCATTGGCATTTGAATCGACCAGGATCATTGGAATTGCCGTTAAGCGAATCCGGTTTCGTTGTTACCGGAAGTAAGCGACGACAGGACCCTTTGATAAGGATTACCGGTCTCACACCCGTAAATTCTGTAGGGTCGTGAAACGTTTCCGCGAATCAAGGAAGGTACGGCAGAGTACCGAAACTCATTGCAGGTATACCCAGATATTCATGAGGTATCACGTGGGCACGTATACACACGCCTCACGCAAAATTTCAATTTCCGGCCCATTAACGCGCAAAGCCAACACGTGGTAAACAAAGCCCATTCAGACGAAATCCGGTCACTCATTCATGAATATGAAATTGTTGGAAATCAATGGGAATAATGGGGTGAAACAGTTGGGCTCCGATTTCATGAATGAAAAATGCAGGCAGGCCGCCCCACGGCCACCGAACAAGTTATCGTGGATACACTATAGAAGAACAATACGATATTTTAACATTTTTCAGAATTCACCTGTCGGACAGTACGTACCGTGAGAATATTAAAGGTATTAAAAATCCACATACACCAAACACGCTATAAAATATCATCGATAAAAATTGTCTTCGTCAGCCATGCTTTAATTGCAGTCAATTATTGGGGTATCGAAAAAACAATAATTCGGTAATTCCTTCGTTATCGCGTCTGGGTCCTTTATATCGAAAAACAGAAGCTCGTTAGCTGATGGACGATTTCTCTAGCGCGTTAATTTCATTAGAACAGCGAATGGGGAAAAGCGTGGATTTACGGGCGATCTTCTCGTACGACAGAACCGGTATCTTATATGATCCGAAGTTCGTGGAACAGGTGCAAACTTATGAGGGTTAACTTATGAGGCTGCGCGTTACGTTTTTACATCGATACGTCCGGCATTCGAAATTGCTCATAAGTTATATAGCCTTTCTTATTGATGAGAATATGGTCCAGGGATGCTGGATGAGAGAAGCAAAACGAATCGTCTGAAGTCATCGTTCGATTTAGGGACAGAAGATTACTACCGATCTTGTAGGAAGAGAAGGAGGAAATAAGAAATTCATGTAATTTCGACGAGGAAGGATTTTGAAATTAAATTTTTTTGGGCCTTGTATCAAGAAGAAGAGACGAAGATAAATCTCAAAATTATTTTGCATCGTGTAACAATGGGTTTATGTGTTCGGAACGATCGGACTAGGGTATGAAGTAATGGCGGATCGGGAGGTGGTCACAGAGGAGAGCAGTGATTGGAGACGAGTTAGAGCGTCTAACCGGCGCAGTTAAGTTGGGCCCACGGGAGCGGAACACGGCTCGCTTCCTGTAACGCTCCAGTGCGCGATTCCCACGGCGTATTC